GTTAAATATGTGCCATCATTTTTGCAATAAGCTTATTTTTAGATTCATAATTCAGACTTGAAAAGGGCACTAAATTACCTGTTCTTTTCTTTTATAGTGTAAGATCACCACAATGGTTGCGAGGAAAATGGTGGTCTCTTAAACGTAACTATCGCCATTACCAGTCAATGCCATTTCAAGGTAATTTGGTGCACAATGTACAGTCATGTATTATTTTTTACAGGAGCAAATTTAAATTTTTTGCAATAATTTACATGGATTGAGTTTAGGCAACTCTAAGAAAATATTTTAAAAGTCAATATATTTTAGTGTCCTGAATTCAAATTTAATTTACTAAATGCCATGGATGAGGAAGAGATGACATTTTGTTAATTTTTTTTTCTGCCAGAATTACTTGAACACCTGAAGACCAACCATGTTGGAAATGTTCGAGTGAAAAACCAGATGAAAGTCTCTGCAGAAATGGTAGCCATGCCAGTAACTCTTCAAACAGGTAAAATTTCTTCTGAGATTGATCATTTTCTAATGACTAACTGATATCATAGGATAACGCAGAGTTCTGGGGTAGAAATAATACCAAAGATATGAAGAAAGGAGATTGACTATGAATGTTTTGAGTGTAATCTAATTGCTGTATTTGCTTTTATTGCTGACTTATGTAATCTGACATTGATAATTCTGAGAGTCCTGAAATTGATTAAACTACTACAGCTGCTACAGTGAAACCTGTCTAATCTGATATGCACTGGGTGACAATGTTTGTGTCATAATACTGTAGATTCCTTATTTTTCGCGAGTACTCTTTATCGCGAACTGGCTCTTGAACGTCAAATCGCGAGAATTATAATTCGCGAATGGACGGTTGATCAATAGATTTTACATAGATTTCAGCACTATAAAATTAAAAGCTAGTAATATTTTTTTGCGAGTGATGCTTCTCGCGAAATTACGCGGAATTAATTCCTCGCGTTTAATTAGGAATCTACAGTAGTCAGGGTGTCAGAATGCACAGTGTAAAGAACATGAAAAATAGGAATGATATTAAAAGTTTGGAGTTTACAGTGAAATGGATTACAGAGGTGTTGTACATGACAATTTTCACTGTATTTGTAGTCAAGTGCTCTACTCTGATTTACAGGTGCTGATGGTAGCTCCACCAGTGAAGCTCTACAGACATATGAAATTCTCCATCAAACCAGCTCTGGGGCTTTCCTGATCACCCAGCCCAACACTAACCCTTGCCATTACCATTAATGGTTCTCCAGTCACTTCAGATCATATTATTGTACACACCTTGCCAGAAAAGTATATTGGAGTATTGAGGTAGTGCTTGATTGTATACTCAGAAACCTTTATAATAATTTATTTTTAGCAAAAGCATTTATTTTAATGCTTTGTTTTTGGTCACTTGTCCATATAAATTTCTCTTTGTAAATTCCTTAAATAATAACATTTATGATACATGTGTGTGGAAAGGATCTTTTTTTTTTAGAACTTAGCAGTATTAACCTGATCTTTTGTAGAACTCAACAGCTTTACAGGGGCAGGAGAACCTGGCAGTACAGATGAACCCAGTCATACTCAACTCAGCCTCAGACAGTCTCAGTCTGGACTCGACAGAAATCTCATTACAGAGTTCTACCACCGGTACTGACCAGGGTTAGTTTTTACTGCTACATGTATATTTGGAATTTAAAAAATTTTCAATTGATCTTGGTTAAAAGTCTTTACTTTGTAGCTCCAATAACAGTACTTAGCAAAGTACCGTGTCTATAAACAGGTCGAGGCAAATAATTTTCTGTGACCTTAGAATAAATTAATATGTTAAATGAGGAACCAATGCGACTGACAAATAGACCAATCAGCTTAATGAGTTGCATTTTGGGTTACTACAAAAATACTACATGTGTGTTTGAAAAGGCCAATTTTTGAAAAATATAAAATATTTCAATCTATTAATTTTTTGTTATTTTCATTTTTTTTTCTCTAGATATAACAGAACAGATGATAACATCCACCCCTGAGATGGACACACAGACAGAAATTTCTTCCACACCATTTGAACATGAGGTAACAGCTTATAAAAAGAGGATTGAAAATTGCAGCTTAAAATTTGACCATTAAAAGTAAAACTTAGGAGAAGACTACTTTTGATATATGGAAGCAAAAAACTCCATTTTACATGTATAGTGAAACATGTCTAATCCAAATGTTGTGTATTCTGAAATTTTGGTAATTATACAGTATAATTTGTCCAATCCGGCTACCGCCGGTTCCATAAAATTTGGCCGGATTAGACAGAATCCGGAGTGCAGGAAAAATACAGGAAAATATAAATTTCGAAAATTTTCGTTGTTTATTTACAAGTACATCATATACATATTATAAATAAAATTAAATGATGAAATCAATTACTATTCTGGAGTCTAGAAATTATAAAATAGTCTCACATGACTTACAGTATTTTCTTATTTGTTCACGAAGTTTGAAAGCCGGGTGAAATGTTACCTCAATCAAAATATACAGGCACGCATAATATAGGCCTACTATGTATCAAGCGAACCGGGTTTCGCTTGTCAAAGACCTCATTCAATGTATTAACAGTAATGCACAATTATTTACGATGTGCTAATTATTAGTTTATGTAAAAAATTACGTCTTCCCCCACAGTGTTATGGAGCCATTTTGAAATGCGTTCGATTTTCGATCCCGATTTATATAATTTTGATTTGTAAATCGCATACATATATTTTTGTGTTTATGTTATAATGTGGTAAAAGGAGTTAAAACAAATTAAAGTTACTTTTTTTAATTGTAATTTAATATAATATATTTTTCAAGTGGACTGTGTCACCGCCGCATTTCACCGAGTTCGTCTCATGGCACTAATAATCATGCTAATGTAAACAAGGATTATCACATTCCCCCACGAAAGGTGTTGATTTCTTTGAAGTAACTCAGGTGTGGCCGGATTAGAGGGAATAATTAACGTTAATTACGAGCAGTTTGGGCCAGTATGGCCGTTCGGAATACAGAATAGACAGAATCCGGACTACACAGAATTTTTTTAAATGAATTTGTTAAAGAAGTGCATGGGACTAAAATTTACGGACGGAATGGACAAAAGTCCGGAGTACTCAGAGTCCGGATTAGACAAATTTTACTGTATATATCTTCGTGTTGGCATAATATATATGATGTACTCCTACAAGTAAAAGCCTCGGTTAACATCCCCTCCTTATGTGGCGCCAAGTCAAAAGTATCTCACTGTGAACCTCTAGCATGCTGTAGTAAATATGTATGATGTAAACCTTAAGGCCCTCAATATTAAAATTCATTTGTTTAAAATGTTGTTTAATCGTCCCATTTCTTCAGACCTAGTGGTGTCCAAATTAGATATGTTTTACTGTAATATATGCTTATTTTTCTGATAACAGACCATTGCCTCCTCTGTGATCGACGGAGACCAGGAAACAGTCAGTCCCAGATTGTGATTTCTTCAGAGAATGACCATGGGAACTACAAGTTAGTGATGGTCACGACAGGGAACGATAACAGTACAGAGTACATGTTCTCACAGTCAGGTAATTCTGATAGCATTCAAAGCAGCTCAGTCAGGGAGACTTGTTAGCTTTTGCAGAATTTAGTCTCCTTGAACTGAAGAGTTCCAAGCTTCAACAATTGTAACACATTTGTTAAATTTTTGAAGTAAGTCATTGTGATGTATGCTGCACAGGTTATATGGTATAAATTAATTTTTATGCTATCAAATGATGTGTTACATTTATAAAAAAAAAATTAATTAAAAAGTAGCACTTTATGAATCAGACAATAAAAAAAACTTGTTTCATTATTTTAAACTGTGTTTTGAAAGTGTTAGTATGTTAGATCAGGCCTGTTAAGATTTAAGAATGGTGTTGCCGGCTATTTTTTACACACGTAAATCTAATAATTCAGCATTTGCCTGACTATATTTTACAGATCCTATGCTACCCTCGGGGGAGACTGACCTGATTGTTAACCCCTCGGACGTGGATTCTGACAAAGTTCAAGGCCAGGTCAGCCTGGATATTTCTAGTCCCGACATCACAGCCACCTCTTCGTAAATGCTGCAGATTTTTAAATCAATCTTCATAATCTTAAAATTGTCGGTTATCTCTTCAAGAACTTTTCCTTTTTTTTTGCTAATTGTTATATATAAGGGATGCATCATTTTACTTTATAAAAAGTATAATTATTTTGAGCACAAAGTTGAGAAATGTTATCACACAAAAGTTGTTTATTACTTGATTCACATACAAGGGATGAATTACTTTTTTCTGATTACTGTGAAATCACAAATTTTCGTGGGGGGTTAATTTTCGTTGTTTTCGAAGGTGTGAAAAAGACCCACAAATTCATGTCCACCACGAAATGTAAAATTTCACATATATAACTTTTTATAAATCCATCATCAACGAAATCAAATCCCCACAAACCAAGATTTTTTTACTCCATGCAGTCAAGAAAATTTGACCCCACAAAAATATGTGATTTTACAGTATATAGTTGAATTTCTGTATTTCAAATACCTTGGATATGTCTTCCCACCCCAGTTTTTTACGCCTGATATCTTTAATCTTCGGATATCTCAGAGTTTTTTAGCTCACCTGAGCTGAAGGCTCAAGTGAGCTTTTCTGATCAAAATTTGTCCGTTGTCTGTCGTCGTTGTTGTCGTCGTCGTTGTCGTTGTTGTCGTAAACTTTTCACATTTTCATCTTCTTCTCAAGAACCACTGGGCCAATTTCAACCAAACTTGGCACAAAGTATCCTTGGGTGAAGGGGATTCAAGTTTGTTCAAATGAAGGGCCACGTCCTTTTCCAAGGGGAGATAAATATGAATTTGTTAAAAATTAATGGCATTTTTAAAAAATCTTCTTCTCCATAACCGCTGGGCCAGGAAAGATGAAACTCATGTGGAATCATCCTCAGGTAGTGTAGATTCAACTTTGTTCAAATCATGACCCTAAGGAATAAGTTACATGTTCAAAACTCAGAATACATAATTATACACTGTATTACTTGGAAGATTTTTTTTTATATCTCTCGAGTCCATAGGGCAATTTTTTTTCACAGCAACAGAATAAAATTAATTTTTTTAAACATATATATTTTTAAATTATGGTATTTCTGGTCAATATATACTGTAAACCAACTTTTATTCATGGCGACTTTATTTCACGATTTACCAGGTGAAAATTAGTTTGCGACTATTACTTTTGCAATCAAGCGTAGTTTTGATCAGTTGTTAATTGACACAGAGACTTTAAGGACCGGTTCACAGTGAGAAGTAATCACGATGAACTCACTGACATGAACCTTGGGAAAATTTCTTGAAGGCAAATAAAAGTTGGTTTACAGTATACTTGATTTTTTTTTAACACATACATTATATTTTCATGTGGAATCATCCTTAGGTATGTTAAAACTTCAAGTTATTTCCAAGGACATAACCCCCGGGGCAAAGGTGGGATTTAATTTGACTTTTTTTTTACAGACAACAGGGGAGGAATGTGCTGTGAAGCTGTTCCACGACCGAGTCTCCCAGCACTACGCCGCTGTCCCCTACCGAGAATCTGGAATGTTCTACCTTACACCGGAACGTAATCTCCATTTATCATATCCAGAGAGAGGTAAAACAACAGTTATACCATCAAAAAGACTATGCCAACAAGAAATATATATATAAAGACGTAAAACATCAGTTATACCATCAAAAAAGACTAGGCCAACATGAAATATATATAAAGACGTAAAACAACAGTTGTGTTTACCACCAAAAGAGAATGTGCCAACATAGTTATACATGTACATCACAAAGTGTGTAACACAAAAATCAAGACTTGTACCATCAGTAGAGAATATGCCAACATAGTTATATACATGTACATTACAAAGTCTGTAACATAAAAACCAAGACTTGAACCATCAGTAGAGAATACGCCAACATAGTTATATACATGTACATTACAAAGTCTGTAACATAAAAACCAAGACTTGTACCATCAGTAGAGAATACGCCAACATAGTTATATACATGTACATTACAAAGTCTGTAACATAAAAACCAAGATTTGTACCATCAGTAGAGAATACGCCAACATAGTTATATACATGTACATTACAAAGTCTGTAACATAAAAACCAAGACTTGTACCATCAGTAGAGAATACGCCAACATAGTTATATACATGTACATTAAAAAGTCTGTAACCATAAAAAGAAGAAGACTTGTACCATCAGTAGAGAATAATTGCCAGCATAGTCAATTTAATTCAAATCACCTACATAGTCAATTTAATTCATATCAGATGTTCTGAATCTGTTTCAGCTAAAAACTAGAAGCGGTAGAGAATTCAGAGCTTCTCATTTTAAATAAATTGCTAACAAAGTCAGCATAAATCTGAATTTAGCGGAACTTTGGTATTTTGTAGACTTATCTTAAATACTATCGATTTTTCGAAGTGATTTAGAAGTCCCAACCACTTTATTCTTTAAGATTGATATCTTGAATCCATGGATATCTCAAAGTTTTTTCCGTCTCACTGAGTTTGAGATAATGAGGTTTGACTATATAAAGAAATTATACTATTAGTTTAACATTACTTTTTCATTTCATTTTGGACAAATTCTTTTTTTTAAAGAAATTTTATTTAAAGTTTAATTTCCCAAATAAATTAAAGCTGCATGTGTTTAATACTTTTGTAGGACAAGTTTTGCCAATTTTTTTTATTTTACATGTTAATAGACCTTATGATATTATCCATTCTAGGCCATTTTAAAAGAAGTATTTCATTGAAAACTTCACAGTCAAAATATTATGGAACCTTAAAATTTTCCGAAACCAAACAATTCAGATAAACTTGCATGATTTCCCACAAACTCTTACAAGGGGGATAACTTTGATCAATAGATATCTATTTGGAATAAATATAATATTTCCATTTTATTTTTTTCTCTGTGATAACTCTTTGAAAGTTAGTGAAGTTTATTTCTTGATAATTCTACCGGAATGTAAATTAGGCAAATCGATAGGTCAGGGGCTAAGGACGCCATATATGCATGTGAATCTCGCGCTTGTCTGTCTTTGTGCCTGATGCTAAGGAGGCCAAATATGCATGAAAATCTCATGCAGCTGTCTTTGTGTTTGACATCAGTGGGCGAGGACTATTGAAATTGACAATCTAAATCTACAATTTTATTTCACAATGAAATGGAAATATAAGGAATCACTGTCTAGTTAGGAGACTATGCCAGGGACATCAACAAATAGTGGGAAACATGGGATAATTTATGCGTTATGCAATTATTCCATGTGTCCTACTATTGTTGATGCCCTGGCATACTATTCTAACTAGACAGTGATTCCTTAAGTATTGTACGGTTTAATTAAAGGTCTGCTAACTTTGAGCAGGCTTTTGAAAACTACCTATCTTTTGAAAAATTGTTAAGATTTCTTACTCTGTACCAAAGCTTTAAGTTTGCAGTTCTTATAATTCCAAAGATAGCACTCAAAGTATAATTATTTGAACATTTCATTTCAGATTTGTCAAGTTTCTTACAGGTCAATATTTTTTTTTGTGAATTCATGATCATCCTATTTCTTTGTATCTGTTCCCTGTTTAATATTACATGTATCCTGTTATTGTTTTTGAATATTTCCTTTCTATATAAGATATTAAAAATATCTGATTGATGCTTTTTTTTTTTATTTTATGTGTTAGATATTTGTAGATTCTACCAAACACTTGTTGACTAAAATTTTCTTTTCATATGAAGTAATATGCAGTTTGGAAAAAAAAATAATAAAAAAGGTCTCCAAAACCTATATGAATTACTGTACACAGGGTTATTTTCGCCCCCGTGTTATTTTTGCCCTTTCACACTTGTAGACAATTATCCCATTTTTAGCTCTTCTGAGCCAAAGGCTCAAAGAGCTTATGCTATGGCCATTTGTGCGGTGTGCGTTGCGGTGTGCGTTAACTTTTTAGAAAATGGGCCATAACTCAAGAACGCCTTGGCCAATCAGTGTCAAATTTGTCACAGGGTATCCTTGGCCCAAGGGCTACCATTTATACTAAAATAAGGGTTGGGACCCTTAAACAAGGGGAGATAATCAGGAAAACAAAACCAAAAGTACTGGTTGCTAAAAAATCTTCTTCTCCAGAACCACCAGGCAGATTTTCACCAAACTTACACACAAGGATCAGAATATGTTGAAGATTAAAAATTGTTCAAGGCATGACCCTGGGGCAATGGGCGTGGTCTCAAGGTCACTTCAAAGTTGACCTAAATTTACAATTGATAAAAACGTTTATATTTTGCTTACTATAAGGACTAAGATCATCAAATCTTATAAGTTGATGCATCTTAAGACTTCACATTGACCTACTTTTTTAATTTTGCGGGCATTTGTTTTCAAATTGATTTGAA